GTGGGATCACCCCAAGACATTAAGCTTGAAAGATTGTTTCTATGTGATTTAAAAACAAACTGGGGTCTGTGGCTTCCCCGCCAACAGTGAATGGATGGGCCACAGGAAGTTCACAGCTTCCACTGCAAAAACAGACTGAGGTTCTGATGGAACACCTAGAGACAAAATGGAAGAAGCAAAAGGAGAAACTAAGAGGATTCTATGGGGCAAACCAAAGAAAGACTACAAAAAGTCAGACGAAAATAACACCATGAAGCCAGGCGATGGTGGCGCATGCCTTTAATCCCAGCACTCGGGAGGCAGAGGCAGGTGGATCTCTGTGAGTTCGAGACCAGCCTGATCTACAGAGCTAGTTCCAGGACAGGCTCCAAAGCCACAGAGAAACCCTGTCTCGAAAAAACAAAAACAAAAAAATAACACCATGAGTCAATAATCAAGAGCTTGCACATCAATTTGGAAGAAATCGACACAGGGACCATTCCCAAAGAAATCCTAAACACTTGCATCTGGCTGCACTCTCTCCTCACCTTATTAAAAGTATTTAGATAAAGCCATGAGTACAGGTGGAAAGCTGTGGTGTATAATGCTGGGTAGCTACCTCCTCCGAAGTGGAGCATTACACTTTGAAGGAAGAGCTTTAGAAGATATAAGAGGCTATAGAAAGCTCCAAGGTTTAGGAAGTTACAGGAGTCACAAGGCCCTGAGGTTATAAAAGAAGTAAACAGCTGGCAGGAGGAGGCTCTCTGGTGGTATCATCTGCAAGTTCCGCAAGGAGCTTCAGGGATGCAACTTTCATGAGTCATCCCCCATGTCGTGGTTGGCTTTGAGTCACCCATGGTCCTGTAATTAACTCCAATGAACTCTTCAGTTCACCAAAGTAGACTTGGGTGGAATTATTCTTTTGTCTGGTGCTGGTGCATCTATTTTGGGTAAATAGAGATTTGGTCACATCTCTCCGGAAGTCATACATCATAGAAAACTAGTTAGACAATGTGTTTGTTCATGGAACGTTCTACAGTCCCCAGGTTGCCGAAGCTGCTGTCTGGCCTGCTGTTAGACCACATAGCATTGTTCACCATGGCCATTGAACACAGCTCATAGAAATCATGTGCTTTAATCAAAACTTTGATAGTTTTTACATAATAAAATTGTTCTGCTTACATACTGAGATAAAATATTGTCTCATCTCTTACTGCTTCCACTTTGCATTAATTTTTAGCTACTAAGTTGGCAAATAGATTTTTACTATCCCTTTGTTTTATTATTTGGCTTAGAAATGTTATTTTAAGTGTCAGAAATTTTCCTAAAGGAAATTAGGAATAATGTACCACAATGCAATATTTAAAAATAGTTTAATTTGCCTGTTGATTCTGCTCTATTTTCTTTTTTATGTATGTAGACCAGACTAACATAGAATGCACTGAGATCTATCTGCCTCTCATCCCAAGTGCAGGGATTAAAAGTGTATCACCAAGCCTACCTCCTATTTTTAAAGCCTTCTAACTACAAATATGTGATAACCACTATGTGTCCCATTCTACTTTTGTGTGATTGTGGCATTTTAGCATGTTAATTCTATACTATTTTCACGGATTTAGTAGTGGAATATCTGGAACATTCTTAATTTGCTAATCCCATGTCACTGCAATAGATTCAACTTAACAATATATTTCCACAATTCAACATTTTTATTCCTCCTTTTAAAAGGTATAAACTGTTGGGCAGTAGTGGGGCATGCCTTTAATCCTGGCACTAGGGAGGCAGAGGCAGGCAGATCAGTAAGGCCAGTCAATCATAACAAGATGCCATGAACGTCTGGTAAGGGTTTAGCCATTGACTAAAGGGATCAAAATCCCACAACAGCCAAGGTTACACAGAGAAACCCTCAGAGAGAGAGAGAGAGAGAGAGAGAGAGAGAGAGAGAGAGAGAGAGAGAGAGACCTACTTAGACAAAATACTTAATGTGAGCTTGTAAGCTTATAGTTCTGCAATATTTACTAATGTTGGATAAATTACACAATGTTATCTCATAATCATGCTCTCTAAATTGACAAGGAAAGTGATACTATCACTAGGTTGTTGTATAGAAATACCATGTGTGAATTATGAGGATACTGCTTAAAGACAGGCATTTGACAAAGGTGGCCATTTTTAACTTAACAATAAATTAAACTTACAACACAACTAGATGTGTTTCTCTGATGTTCTTATCTTTGTGGGGGCACTTCCCTAAGATAAAATTCTTGTAACAATCTATCAATGAACAAGAAGAATTAAGAGGAAAAACAGAGAACCTCTATAAACCCTTCTCATGATATCACACTCAAAGTTTCTGAGGAAGTCATCTGGGCGTTCCCAGTACCATAAATACACACACACACACAGTTTTAAAGATTTATTTATTATGTATAGTGTTCTTCCTGCCTGTACACCCGCGGGCCAGAAGAGGGCACCAGATCTCATTATAGACAGTTGTGAGCCACCATGACAACTTTACTACCCTGGATAACTGTCCCATTGGAGTAGTCTGTCCTGAAAAGTTACACTGCACTACGAATGCAAGGTGACAGGTTCAGGACAATGAGTTGACCTTGTGCCTTCAAACTTGAAGCAGGATGAAATAGTCTAGATCAGTGGTTCTCAACCCTCCTCCTAGTGTTTCAACCCCTTAATACAGTTTTAGGTTGTGGTGACCCCTCCCCCAACCATAAAATTACTCGGTTGCTACTTCATAACTGTAATTTTGCTGTCGTTATGAGTCGTGATGAAAATATCTGTTTTCTGATGATCTTAGGGGGCCCCAACTGAAAGGGTCATTTGACTCCCCAGCCCACAGATTGAAAACGGCTGGTCTAGGTCAAAGACAGTGCTTGAGTGATTAGCTTGTGCATGGAGTCAAGCAGGAGTCTGAGCCAAAGTAAAGGCGACTGACACAGAACAGAGCAGCAATGCCAGGTCTTCATAGTACTTTACTTACCTATGGGCCCGAGCAAGGAATCAATGATCAACGCTTTTTAATGAAAGCAGTTTCTCAGGGCTTATTGCAAGCTATTGATAATCTCCTTCGCTTACTGATATACTGGACTGTGGTGATTTGAACAAGAATGGCCCCATAGGCTCAGAGTTGAATGCCTGGTCATTAGGTCGAGGCACTGCTTGGCATGGATTAAGAGGTGCGGTCTTGTTGGAATAAGTGTGGCCTTGTTGCAGGGAATATGTCACCGGGGGAGGGGGATGGGCTTTGGGGTTTCAAATGCTCTAGCCAGGCCCAGTGTTTCTGTGTGCCTGCTGCCTACAGATCCAGATGGACAACTCTCAGCACCAACCGTGCCTGCCTGCACGCCACCATGCTGATAACGGACTAAGCCTCTGAAACTGTAAGCCAGCCCCAGTTAACTGATTTCCTTGAGGAAAGTTGCTGTGGTCTCTTCACAGCAATAGAACATTGAGGAAGACAGGGACTTCACGTTGGCCATAAAAATCACATTTCCTAAGGATTCACAGATATTAGTGAGAGTCAAAGGGACTTTCCCACAATATTAAAGAGTGGAGGCATGTGTTCCTGGCCCAAAAGCAATAAACATAATTAGCAAAATTAAAGTATCACGACTAAAAACAAAGAAAATTAGATGATTCATTAAAGCTAAAAAGTGACAGGTCTATTGCAACTCTGTGACCATAACTTCCTTACACTGTCCACAGACAAGGGCTAAGGAATACAGCAAGTAAGTAAGTCCCACATAGTCAGCAAATATACAGATAAAAGATCTACTAAAGGGGCTGGAGAAGGCTCCACCGTTAAAGGCACTAACTGTTCTTTAAGAGGACTCAGGTTCAATTCCCAGCACCCACATGGCAGCTTTAAGTCCAGTAACAGGGTTCCAAAATCCTCATCTGACCTTCAAGAGCACCAGGCACAGAAGTGGTATATGTATATATATATCCAAAACACTCACGCACATAAACTAATAAATCTTTTAAAAAACAACAAAAACAAATGAAGGGCCATCTAAGAACTCGGTGATAATCTCAACACAATGCCCTGACAGATACACAGACTAAGATACTTCCTTCCGTTCTGAGCAGGCCATTTCAGTCCAGGCCAACCAAGTTGTGTAGGACTGGACTGAAAAGCAGAGAGCTGAACATCAACTCTACGCTAAAGAACAGCTAGCTGCTAGAGGGGTTTCCCCAGGAATTTTCCTCCTCCGGTTTGTTCTCTTGCTCCCCAACATCCTTTGTTATTTGTACGTCTCTAGAAAAGACCCGGCAACATATTTCCCCACAGTTAAGGCAGTCGCAACAAAGGACTCCTAACGATTACGTTTAAAAGACATGAAGGGAAAATAATGAATAACAAGAGAAAATAAAAACAAAATACAAAACAAAGTTTTCGGGCTAAATCTAACAACATCAGATTTGTAGGTTTACGTAAATACGCCAAGCAGAGAATGGAAAGGCTCAAGGGTGACTTCCCACCTAAAATCCTGCTATTTTAGGCTACAACTAAAGGAAATGAAACTGAGTAACCCTTACCAGCGCTCTTCAAGCCTAGCCAATTTTGTAAACGGCATCAAACAGCTCTTTCATCAGAAACCATGGCAATTCCTCTTATACTCCCTCACCGTCCGCAAAGCAGCAGCTAACCGTCGACACCCCAGTCACTCCTTTAGCGACCCGATTCGGGCAGACTTCTCAACTTTCCCTACTCATCCCACGAACGATCCACGTGCTCCGTCACTGGATCTGAACGTCCAGTCTACCCCGGATTCTCCTAGAACGGCCTGAGCGATCGACCCACTCGGCGTCTCCACTGCCTGAACTAGTCCCCTCCCTCCAGCAACAAGCCGCGGAGCGCCGAGAGGCTCGATCGCCGTTGCCTGGACCCGCCCCACCAGCCCTCTCCAGGCCTCGGAGCGCCGAGCGGCTCGATCTCCGCGGCCTGAGCCCGCCCCCACCCTCACCCCCCGCCCGGCGCCAGGCGGCCGCCCGAGCGCCGAGTCGCTCGATGAGCGGGGGCGCTGCAGCAGCTCAGCGGTGGCGGCTCTGCGCCCTCGGTCCTCCCCCCCTCCCACCCTCCTTCCTCAGCTTCCCGCTCCCTCCCCCGCCCGCCCTGCGCAGCCAGCGGGGACTGCTGCCCGGAGCTCCCCCGGAGCCTCAGGTATCCCGCCCCGGCACGCGTGGGGAGGAAGGAAGCCTGGCGACGCCCCTGCCCGCCGGCCCCCAACGTCCGCTGGGGCAGAGAGCTGGCCTGCGCGGGGACCAGGTCGCGAGTGGGGAAGGCGGGGGCGCGGGGTGCCGTGAGGAAGGGGCGCGCGGACGAGGGGTGCGGCTGGGACGGCCGAGGAGCTTTGGCATCGAGTTGCCCTCCCCCGGAAAGAGCTGTTTCGAGGGGGCGTCTGCGCCGGGAGTGGGGGCCGGAGTTCCTAGCGGACGTCGGGTTGCGGGGCCTGGTGCAGCGGCGGCAAAGAGAACCGAGGGACCAGCAGGGATGCTGCCTGGGGTCCTTTCCTTAGGGGTGCTGGAGAAAGCGCGCAACCCCGCTGTGTTTAGAATGACCCGAGGGTGGAGGTGAACCCTTCCTTACACGTAACAGGTTTTGCGAGTAAGATTTCCTGTCTTGACTCCATTCAAATCACGATTTGCGTGGAACTGCCACCGAGACTGCAAATGAGATGAGGAATGAGGAATAACCAGAAAGGGAAGGGAGGCTAAGAAAAAGGGAAGTCTGTGCCCAGATTTGAGCATTTTGTGAAATGAAACACACAGAACGTGTGTTTTTTTTTATAAAGTAAAAAAGCCAACGTAGATTAAACAACAGGTTAGAAGTTTATTACGTGTAAAGTCACTGAATAGAGAACATACTACAAAATTTGATATCATACGTGAGATTTAAACGAATGATGAAGTACACGTCACTGTCCTGCGATGTTGACACTTGAGTGAACCCTGTAGTGTTCTGTCCTCAACATGGAAAGACATCAGGGATGGCTCTTACTACAAAAGTATTTTTGGTAGAGGAACTGTACGCAGAATATAGTCAGCTCTGATTTGTGAGCACAGTTTATTTCTGTGCAAATGTCATTAGTTGTGGGGCAGGAAAGAGTAACTCATTTATCTGTCTGCTGTTTTGCCAGTGACCTGAGTTTGCTCCCTTCTTCAAACTGATAACTTGGATTTAAGAACTTGAAGGGGTTTACTCCCCACTAAGGCTTAGTGTTATTGTATCTTGTAGAAAGGTCACGTAAGTTCATTTGATCACGTCTTTCTCTGCCGGCTAAGATCAGGAGTATCTGTTTTGATCAGTGAGTTGTTTCTTTTGTGCTGTCGAAGTTTAAAATATAAATTCCAGATATAATTAAAAGCCCATTTTCTTTCATTCTTTGTCAACTTTTTCAGTACATTCTGGAATATTTCTGCATGAGATTTATACTGAAATTAAGATGTAAGGACTAAAATGGGCTGGATAGATCTAACAGAGATAACCACGGAGTAAAGAACCCTGCAGCTGTCGCTCAGGCATGGTAGTGATTTACTGTTTCAAGTGCTTTGAAAGCAAATGACAGGAGGCTGATTTTACTGATAGAACTTTGATTTTGGTTTCTAAGAATAATGTAACAATCTTCAAGTGTTTTTTTTTTATAGAAAATGGTAGGTTGTTATAAGAAAGTATGTCTTTCTAGAACAGAGTTGTGTAACATGATGGCAGCTAAATGAATGAATATTAAAACTGATAATATATAGGCACTTATTGATCTGTTTGAGTGGAGTGACATAACATTGTTAGGTATTTACACAACTAAGTGTTCTTAATGGTTGTTCCAAAGACGTCTCCAGAATAAAAAAAGAAATGCAGATAAAACCCTGAATGCTAAAAATGCTTCTGTTTCTGCATATGCATGTATGTGTCCAGCACATAATAAACATCTTGGGTTTTTAATGAATTTTTAGTCAGTTGTCATCTGCTCCACAATACTGAAAATTTGTTTTTGCATAGCAACTACTTCTCTAGAAGATTTTGATCCTGTTGCATATGCAAGTATTTCCTGGAAAAATCACAGTGCATATTAACATGAAAGGCTGCAAAGAAAGCCAGCTTTGTTTAGCTTCCTTGTTTTTAGATATGAAAAGTCCCATTTTCTCTCAGAAAATGTCTGTGAACCCAGAATGTGAAAGGGTGTTTTTTCTCAGAAAGCAACCCATTTGGCAGGACATTGTCCAGCAGAGAGCAGCTGAAAGTCCTCTTAGTTTGTTCCTACCTCAGTCTACTGGAAATAGTCACAAACGCTCCCGATTTCAGGAGCCAAGCCCCAAGTTATTATACCTGTGCTTGTAGCTGGCTATAATTTGAGACGGCCTCAGTCGCTTTGTTGGTTTCAATTAATTTGCTAGAATGACTCACAGAACTCAGGGAGACAGTTTACTGAAGTCTGCCAGGTTATTAGAAAGGCGGTTAGGAAGGGTGTAGATGGTTTATCAGAGGGCATAGATGCAAAGGCCTAGGAAAAGGAGCCCAGAGCTTTCCTGGCCCCTCCAAGTACCCACCCTCTAGAAAAGTCCATGTGTTTATACCTCAGAGCTCTCTGGGGTCCTGACCTCTTGGATTTTTCTGGAAGCTTCATTTGTGGAAATAGTAAATTACAACAGCAGCTCTTGGGGATCACTTCAAACCTTTGCTCTCTGTTTCAGAGGTTGGTGTGGACTAAATAGCCCAACCTTTTCATCCTGACTTGGTTTTTTTTCAGTGAATAGCCTCCCATCTGAAGCTGTGTATAGACTGCCAGACATCTGTCAATATCGTTAGCGTAAAAATCTCACATTTATCACTCATGGGTGTGGGGCTTTTAGGTTCTGCATGTCAGGAAACGAGAGAAGACCAGAGAGAGAGAGAACATGTACATATGCACACACATGTGTAAATATATTTGTGTGAATATGTGTATGTATATGTGTACTGTGTGAGTTAATAGATACATGTGTGTATATATAAATAGAGAATTGTTATTACTGCAATGTCACACGAGTACTTAAAATTAGCCACCCTCATGCAGCACCAGGGGACCATAGTGTATGAGTGTTTTTTGCATGGGTTATCTCATGTGACCACCTAACTTTCTGCGGAGTCACTATTTCACAGACGAGGAACCAACTCCTTGCTTGAGCAGCTGGTTAAAAGTGCAGTGACTGGAAGCATGCCGCTGTTTTCTGACTCAGTGAAAAGGCAAAGCTTCGGTATCTAGGGACTATTCCCATTTTCCCCCTCTTTGACATCACCTGCTCTTCCATGTTATAAAATCCTAAACTTACCCTCTTTCTCTACATGTTTCCTTAGGGGAATAACGCTCGTTTTTGTTACGGTTTTAACTATTTCCTGCAGGCTAAGGCTTAGCGTATAGACTAGACGGTGGAATGGAGCAGGTCCGAGGGTAGGTCCTCCTATGATGAAATCCATTCTCTCCTTCAGGTGGCGGACACTTCCTCTGTGGGACACAGAAGAGTGCTGGTGAGCAGAAAGGATGCCTCCTAAGTTCAAGCGCCACCTAAACGATGACGATGTCACGGGGTCTGTGAAGAGCGAAAGGGTACGTTTGGAATCTCAAGCTCTAAAGAGAGTCAGTGTAAGCTGCACTCCTTGTAGAAGGTAGAAGGACATCTGGAATGTATGGAGCAGCAAAGGGGCGACCCTTCTGTTGGCCCGAAAGGGTCATGTCTGATGCCCCACCACAAAAGAAAGGCTAACAAAGGAGAAGTAGGACAGAGTACCTGATCCTGGCCTTATTTTACCTGACATGAGCGAGAGCCTTTAGATTGAAGACCCAAAATGGAGGGTGAATTGGCCTGTTTTTGTGTTGAGGTTTGATGGAGCCCGGATGACTGTAGGAACTGATTGGACAGAAGGGCGTGATCTAAAGCAGAAAGAAAGGGGGAGAAAGAGAAACTGTTTCTCCACTTCTTTTTGGCCTTTATGTCCCTTTCTGCTGGAGATGGCTGGATATGGGATAGAGAAACCTTTTGGAATGGGGGTCTCAGACCTATCATCGGTAGGGTAGGTCAAAGAATGTTTTTATGATCAATTCCTAGAAAGATAGGGGAAGATGAAGGTAGTATTTTCAGGTTTATGGCCGTTTCAGTTAGATGTATATAGTTGAATGGATTTTGGTATTTTCAGAGCTGGGCAGTTACAGTCAGTTTTAGGGCATAGCTGTATCCCTGAAGGAAGCCCTGTTCTCTTTTCCCGTCATCCACATTCCCTTCAATTCATTCAGCCACAAACAACTTAACCTTTGTCGTTTGACGAATTCTGGGCTTTTTATGTAAATGAAATCATATGTATCTTGTTGTAGTTGGCGTCTTTGATTTGTAGTGTTTTCAGAATTGTCAGTGATGTAGTATTAGTACTTTACATTCCATTTTCTAATTTTTTTCATTTTTTATTTTATGGACAGTTATGGATATGGATGTTTTGCCTGGATGTATGCCTGTGTATGGTGTGTGCACTGCCCGAGAAGGCCAGAAGAGGGTGTTAGACCCCCTGAAACTGGAGTTACAGGTGATTGTGAGTCACCATATGGGTGCTGGGAATCAAGCCTGGCTCCTCTGAAAGATCAGGTAGTGTTCTTAGCCACTTCACCATCTAACCAGCCCCTTTACGTTCCTTTTCAGTGCTGGATAATCTTCTGTCGTGTGTGTGCCACATTTAGTTAGCTGTCCACTAGTTAATGGACATTTTGCCATGCCTGCCCCACACACCCCATAGTTCAGCTGTTCTGACCACTGCTGAATGAATACTAATACATTTTGTTTGAACATATATTTTCATTATATTTTTGGTTGTGAACCTACCCTTTAATGGCTGAGCCATTTTCATTGTGGGGGTATGTATGTAGCAACAGAATTACTAGCTCTTGTAGTAACAATACCCAACCTTTGGGGGAGGTATCAGACTTGTTTTCCAAAGTGGGTTGACAGTTTTAAATTTCCAGCAGTAGTATGTAAGCACACCCTAACACACCCACACTCTGCCTGCTGGGTGAGAATGATATCTTACTGTATCCTGTTATAAATTCTTTATATTGTATCCCTAACACACATACCTGGTCAGTGAATATTGGCCTTGTGTGTTTCTCAGTGGACAACTGAGTTAAACTCTCAATGTCTAGTCTAGTCATCTTCAAAGCAGGATATAAGTCACTGGGCTGTCGCCGGAGCTCCTTCTACTCCTTCAACCAATTGTCGCTGAGATACCAGCCCCAAGGAGCGGAAGGAGCTCCCGCAACACTGGGCTTGTAATTTCATACGATTTTTGTTTTACATATATTTTATTTATTTATTTATTTATTTATTTATTTATTTATTTATTTATTTATTTGAGACAGGGTTTATCTGTAGTTTTGGAGTCTGTCCTGGAACTCACTCTATAAACCAGGTTGGCCTCAAACTCACAGAGATTTGCCTGCCTCTGCCTTCTGAGTGCTGGGTTTAAAGGCATGTACCACTACTGCCCGACTGTTTTATATATTTCAAACTATATTATCAGTATATGAACATTGAACATTGTTAAGTCTTTTTTGTTGTTAAGTCTTCTTGGTAGACGGTTCATTTTATAATTGTCTCATAAAAAGTCTTATTTGGTTATTTATTGCAGTGCTTTAAGGTTTGTCTTTAGGTTACTAATATCTTTATGTTTTGAGCTTACCAGTATATCTTTTCTTCACACTCCACATTATTTTTTAGTTGGCATTTCTTTTAGGTGAATCTCTTGAAAACAAATAGATATTGGCTGGATTTTGTGGCCCTCCAGTCATATATAATTTTGTTTTTAGTAGGCTCATTGACTTGCTATGATGTTAATATCATTGGAACTTTTCTGTGCCAGCCATTTTCCTATGGGCAGTGAGTGACCTGTTTCTGCTATTTGTCTGGGTCATTGTTATTTGAACTTCAGCTTAAATTCCATCTCTCCGGAATGATTTTCTGTGACAGCCTCAGGACTTTCATGTAGTCACCCTGTCACTTTCTGCCCCTTCACTGTTTGAATTCTCTCCATGGCATTTTTCTTAGGATCACCTTTTTCTCTGAGAGCCAAGGCCGAGTCACAGCTTATGCATGGTGTTTACGCCAATGCCTAGCACATATTAAATGCTCAGTATTAACAAGTATTTTTAATGAGCATTCAACATAGCCTTTCTTTTTTACTCTTTAGTGTGTTAGATATTTATTAATTATTTTACGTAGATAAATGACTATCATACATACATACATTTCTTTTATTTCCCTCATACTTTTACCAGATTGGTTATTTTTATCTCATCTCTTACCTTGACCAGGGATTACAAGGTACTCTAGTGAATTTATTCACTGTATTCTTCTTCCCTCTGTTTTTAAAATGTTCACTAAATATTTTAACAATAATACTGAAATCTCTGTTGTCAATGCACCAAAACTGATTCGCCTTCATTAGTTTCCTTTTTTCCCCTTCCTGCCTTCACTCCTCACCAAGATGAGCACGATAACATACTGTACTTCCTCTCTTCACGCCCCACACCCAGCCTCTGAGCTTCAATGGGAAAGTTTTAAGCTCTCTTAGAGACTTGTTTTATTGTTGTTGTTGTCTTATTTAAGTCCCGACATTAAAGACTTGTTTTATGATGTTTTTTATTAACGTACTGTTCACAGTGACACATCATCATTTGTGTGTGTGTGTAAGTCTGGTGTATATGCACTTGTGAATGCACATGTGCTCACCTTTGTGTGTGAGTGTGAAGTCAACATTGGGTCTTTTCCTCAGTTGCTCTACGCCTAGTTTTTGAGACACGGTCTCTCACTGACCCTGGTCGTGATCTTGCTGGCCAGAGAGCACCGAGGAGCCTCCTGGTTCCAAACCCCAGCATTGGGTTAGTGCATGATGCCACACTTGGCTTTTTACATGGATGCTGGAAATGCAACTCGGGTCTCGTGCTTGTGAAGCAACTCCTTCATCTCCCGAACAATCTCCCCAGATTTCATCAAACATACAGTTTGGCTGTACATTTGATTAGATTCTTTAATTCCATCCATCTGTATTCTAAGACTTTGTTCTAATTTGATTTTCTTTTTGGCTGGTCTCATTCCTTGAGCAGTTGTCCTCAGAGAAGATGCATAGGTGGTTTTGTTTCCCATTTCTGTAGATGTGAATTACCGGAAAGTTAAAGCACCAAAAAAATCTGCTCTTTCATTTTTCTTAGGGAGCAATTGCTCTTTGCTCTTCCAAGCTGCTAGAAGCTGCCTTCCTTTCTTGGTTCATACCTTTACTCCACTTTCAATCTCATTTTCTTAGTGTCTCACCCCCTCTGCCTCCCTCTTCTCTTTGGAAGAACCGTTGTCATTGGTTGGGACTGAGATGAATACTCAAAAAGACCTTCAGACTCCTTTCACATGGCCAAGTCTCACCTCAGAAGTTAACAGAGTCACAGGTTTCAGTTATTGGGACATAGACATCTTCGGGACACCGTTACTCTGCCTATATGGGAGGTTTTATTTGTGTCTGAAGGTCAGGATTTTGCTTGCGTTTACCCTCCTTTTAGGACCTCTTGTTCTCCTTTTAGGGAGAGTGTGGACCATCTTCATTTCAGGGAAGACTTTTCCTTTGGTAATGTGAAACTGTAAAGTTAGGTTTGTTGGAAATTAACATGTGTAGTGGGCTGTTTCTGGACTAGGTATCTAGAAGAGCCTTTGTCTCAGCTCCAATGTCTCCCCCTTACTCCTTCTGGGGTACATTGAGCTCCACAGTTGCCTGCTGCCAATAGAGAGAATGCAGGGAAGGAGAGTGACTACCATGACTGCCACGCCAGTGACAGATTCTGGAACTGAAAGTGTTTCCTCTGGAAGGTCAGCAGACCTTGTCCCATAGGTTCCAGCTGCCAACGAGGCGTCTGCAGTTTACCCTTCTCTCTTCCTGGAAGCTGGTTTAAGAACGTCAGCAGCCCAGAGCTTGTTTCTTTTCTCTTCCCCGGCACTTCGTAGTTTTTCTGCATCAGAAAACTCAAATCTTATTTATTTTTTTTAACAGAGAAATCTTTTGGAAGATGACTCGGATGAAGAAGAGGACTTTTTTCTGTAAGTTAACTTTTTCAGTTGTAATTAGCATACAAGAAAGTGCATATGGTTAAAGTGCTCATTGTGGGTCCTGACATATACTAAAATCTCTATAATATCATCCAAAGAAGGAACACAGCGCTTGCCCTAGAACTTTCTTCCACTGCTTTGTAAGCGGTTGCTCTCCCAGGCTGGAGTTTCCACAGATCTGGTTCTGTCACCACATTTTCTGTTCCCTAGAGTTTTATATAAGAGAAGCCACGGGATGCCCTTTTTCTTTCTCAGCTCACTCCATTTGCCATACCTGTTCACTTTGACTCAGTGTGGATCTGCAGGTGGGGTGTTTTGCTGAGTCATTTCCCTTGTGTGGATATACTACAATCCATTTATCCATTCACTTGGATGTGGATGTTTGGGGGTTTATAGTTTTTTACTAAAACAAGTAAATTTCTTGTAAATGTTTGTGTGTAGGTATTTATGAGGACACATGCCTTCATTTCTCTTGGGTAAATCCCTAGGCATGAAGGCTGGTGCACATTCATATCTGTCTTCTAAAGTGGCCACACCGCGACTAAAGCTTTGATTTAACTGAATCAATTTTTTATATAGCTTTCCTCTGTCCCATCCTTCCAACAGGCTCTCACACCATATCCCAGGCTAGCCACAAACTCAACCATCACCTTGCCTTCGTTTCCCAAATGCTAAGATTAGAGATGTGTGCCACTGTGTATCTGTCTGTCTGTCTGTCACTTTTTCTGTTTCTCATTCTCACTCTTTCCGTCCCTTTCCATGTCCCTCTCTTCCCTCTTCCTCTTTCCTTCATTTTCTCCCGTATTTATTATATCATAAATATTATATTGAAGAAACAATGTCACTATAGAAGCTTTAATATGTTTTTGAGTTGTTGTTTGTTTTTTGAGACATCTCTATGTAACAGCTCTGGCTGTCTTGGAACTCACTTGGTAGACCAGGATGGCCTCTAACTCACAGAGATCCGCCTGCCTCTGCCTCCCACGTTCCTGGATTAAGAGTGTGCACCACCACACCCAGCTTTTGGAATGTTTTAACCTAATGGTTTTTAGGTAACTGTCTCATCTGTGGCATCCTTACTTAATCACTGATTTTTGATGCTTGCTTCTGGATTCATTCATAATTATCTGGTTCAGAATATGAAACAGTGCTCTGACCTGTCATTTGGGATAGATTGCTGTTCAGAGTTCTAAGTACAGAACTCCAGTGCTGACTTGGAGCTCTGAAGACCAAGAGGGAAAAGCTTACAGAAGTTAAGGCAAGGTGATATTCTAATACTTAGAGATGATATTGTGGTTTTTTTTTTGTTTGTTTGTTTGTTTTTTGTTTTTTGAGACAGGGTTTCTCTGTGGCTTTGGAGCCTGTCCTGGAACTAGCTCTGTAGACCAGGCTGGTCTCGAACTCACAGAGATCCGCCTGCCTCTGCCTCCCGAGTGCTGGGATTAAAGGCACGCGCCACCATCGCCTGGCTGATATTGTTTTAATGAGTAGTTTAATTTTTTCTTCTAAATAAGTTTTTTTAGAAATGCATATTTTCCCTTCCTTTAGAGAGTTCCGTGTCTGAAAATTAAGAACCTCAGGTTGTTTTGTTTTTTTTGAGTTTTGTAGTTGAAACCTTCTCTATCTTCTAAAAAATTATAACAAAATACCCTGGAGCTCCTATTCCTAGAGCACTGAAGTGGATGGATCAGGGTGTTATATCCTTGGGTGTAACAAGAGATAATAGTAACAACTTGAGACTGTTAAATGCTTCCTTGTGCTCTTGCATTTTCTTCTTGCCGTGCGCATATCTGTAAGAAGGGTATTTAAAAGTAGATTCAAATTTTTAATGTTTTGAGTAAATTCAAAGTAAGTTGCAATTTCAGTTCTAGAATTGGTCACAAAGGTATTCAATGACAGTCTAGTTGGTATGACATTTCAGAGTTCAATGTGTAGGGAAATTATCACTAAAGATTAGGATTATGGACTCTGGACTTTCTCAGGAGGTTTTACCCCTTGGAAGAATTAGATTATGGCCAACATTATATACCATGATTATGAAGGATTCATTTCTACCAAGTTCTGTAAAATGCAGCTACTATGACTAATGATGGTGCATATTTAGAATCCAGCTTGATGGTTCACATAGCTGTGTTTCTTGTTTTCGTATTTGTGTGATATTGTCATTACTAACATGAACTGGGTATTTTATTTTCAGTCGGGGACCATCTGGACCAAGATTTGGACCTAGAAATGATAAAATTAAACAGTAAGTTCCTAGACGCTCATTCATTTAAATTATTGTTATAGTTCTCTGTGGACCAGGGCTGTCAGATGTGGCTGTTGTTTTTATAAACAAGCTTTTTTCATTATTAGAACACAAGCTATATCCATTTGTTTCCATAGTATCTGTAGCTGTTTTTGAGCTCCAACAGCAATGTTGAGTATTTGTGACACAGAGATCACAGAGCCCATAAAAGCTAAGATTTCTGCTCTGTTGTCTTGTATAGAAAATGTTTGTTAGGTGAGCATGGTGGCACATGCCTGCATTCCTTGCCATCATAATGCAAGCTGCTTTTAGATTCATATTGTGTGGGAAAAGGAAGAGTAGCCAAGGTGCTCGCTTCCTGCACCATCGCCTCTCACCTCAGCTCTAATGCCCGCTGGGGCCAGTGACTTCAGTAACAACTGTAGAATACTGCGGTACAGAAGAATTGCTGCTTACACTGCAGCTAAGTGCTTTTATAGTCTGCAGCCTGCAGAAACTGCATACCTCGTCAGTACCTGGGAGTTTGAAGAAGCTGTCTAATGATGGTCCACATGGAGTGGAGTGAGACGGGCCTCACAAGCCACGCACTGTCTCAAGTTCAGTGGATTCACAGGGCATTCTGCATGATGCCTGCATGGTGTCAGTGTGTCATTGTTGAGCCAGAGTGACTCTATCCATCTTTTATATCCAAGATGTCACTGGAGCAGAAGGATCTATTGATGATACTTCTGGGTTTTGATATTGTTGTTTTATCCAGCCAATATGCTTTATTTCCTCTCTAAAACGCTTCTACAGAGTGAATCTAATGTAGAATAGGGCCTTCTGTGACTCTTGAGACACACACACATACAAATTATTACTGTGACTTTGACAATCACAGAATTTTAGTAAAGAACTATTGACTGATGTAGAGCTTTTTGCTCATAGAGCTGAAGGCTGGCCAGATTTAGCTGGAAGTCAGTCATCAAGGAGCAAACTGAAAATTGATGGCCCAGCCTCATGAACTCTTAAGATAACATGACTCACCAGTGTGTATAAAATGGCAGAGGACAACTTGCCTTGCCACGTGCATAAGGAAAACTCCCTGACATTAGTCTAGCACACCAAATCAGTCATTTTATTTAACTAAGATGCATTATTACTACTTACTTTATAATAATTAAGTGGAATATTTCCCAGCATTTTAGATCAGCAATATTATTGCTTTGTTGGAGTTTAATTGGCCAGTAATTGTTAAAGTTGGTTACAGATTAATAAAAAATATCTACAGCACTTTTTAGGAGACATTTTTGAGAAATACTCTTTATTTACTTGCTTCTGTAAAATTCATTTTATTGTGTCATTTTCTTCTTTCTCTTTTTCAATCCCAGGGCTTGAGCCCAGAGCCTCATGGATACTAGGCAAGAGCTCTGCCACTGAGCTACACCCGCAGTCTTTCTAGAATCTTACGACAGGGTCTTTCTGAGTCGGCCAGGCAGACACTCCTGCTTCCACCTCCTGGCTGGAATTGCTGACTTAGAGCATCAGTTTTACAAAAGTTTATGACTTTTATTGGAATGTTTCCTTTGCTTTTAAGTTGAATTATAGCATCTTAAATGCTACTTTGATAATTTTAGATACTTTCTGTCACAGATGAGCAATCTGCTATCAACTTAGTCCAACCAGTTCAAACTTTATAAGGCACCCAAGGATTTCCCATGATATAACGGCAATATATATGCAGTTGTAAGAATTCAATATAGTTTTAAAACTTCTTTGTTGGGACCACAAAATTGGCTCAGCAGGAAAGGGTATCTGCCTCCATGCCTGAGAACCTGAGTTCAGTTCTTGATATCCACATGGAGGAATTGCAGGAGAGCTGGCTACTGTGTGTGCGTGCACACGCACGCGCGCATACATACACACACACACACACACACACACACACACACAATGAATGAATGAATGAATGAATGAACGAATGAACAAACGAACAAATGAAAACACAATTTAAAACAACAAACCCTCTTTGTCAACGGTACTTTAAAAGGCAAGGTGGGGTTGTTAACGGAAATTAGTATTTTCTTTATAAGAAAGACTGTGTATGTGTGGCAGAATATAATTTTTGTTTGTTTGTTGTTTTGTTTTTGAAGACAAGATTTTTCTTGTGTCTTTGGCTGTCCTGGAACTCACAGAGATCCATCTTCTGTGCCTCCTGAGTGCTGGGATTAAAGGTGTGCGCCACCACCACTGGAGATCCACCTGTGGAAGACTGAGACTAGATTCCTTTCTTCCATTATGCACAAAAGTCAGTTCAAAAATGGGCCTAAAGACCTTGGTGTAAGACTGAAACTTTGGGGCTACTAGGAACCACATGGTAGATACATGTGCGGAGCAAGATTTGACAAGTGGCAACTCCAGTAAATTACAAAGTCTCTGTATAGCCAAAGGGCAGAGTGGAGAGAGCCTCTGCAGGCTGCTCCCCAGCCCTGGGTTCGTGTCCACAGTAAACAAAGAGCTGAGCAGCCAAAGCACAAGCAGTCTAGTTAATAAAGGACACCGTGAAGAACTAGTAGGCAGCTATCTGTGACAAGATGTACACCATCTTGAGCTGCCAGGGAAGTGCATATTTAGACCACATTAAGATTTCACCTCACCCTCGTCAGAATGCTGTTAAGGAAAACAAACAAATAATGTTTGAGAGGATTCAGGGGAATCCTGCTGCTAGAACATAAATTAGTTCAGCCAGTACAGATCAGTGTAGAGGTTCTTGGGAAAAAAAAGTTAAAAATCACACTAATTTTCTGGGTACCCACCTGTAACCCAGTACTTGGCAGGTGGAGACAGGAGTTCAGGGTTGTCCTCAGCTATATACTTGTTGAGTTTGAGGCAAGCTTGGACTGTCTAAGATACTATCTCTAAAAAATTCTTTAAAAATTAAAAATTGAAACCGGGCAGTGGTGGCACATGCCTTTAATCCCATCACTCAGGAGGCAGAGGCAAGCGGATCTCTGTGAGTTCGAGGCCAGCCTAGTCTATAAGAGCTAGTTCCAGGACAGGCTCTAAAACTTCAGCGAAACCCTGTCTCGAAAAACAAAAGATTAAAAATTGAATGTCATATGATCTAGTATATCATACCCAGTGCTTCTGGGTATGAGTGCCCCCTTCCAAAAAATAGTCAAAGGCAGCTCACTTTAAGGATGTGTGCAGTACCCTTTCATCATGCATTCATAATAGAAAAGTCATGAAATCACCTGAGGTGCCCATCAGCAAACAGAAAAATGGGAGGCACTGGAGATTATTGTGTAAAGTGAAGTAATCTGGCCTCCTAAAGACAAGGGCCTCTCATGTGGAGTGTAGCAGGGGAGGAGGGTTAAAAGGCCACAGGTGGAATGGGGAAAACGTGGAAAGAGGGTAAGAAACGGGTAGGAGAGGGGATAGAGATGCTCAAGGTACACTGTGTGGAGATGTCACAGCGAAATCTAGGAGTTTTGAGCCTTTTGAATTTATTTTAAAATCATGAAAATATGGCACATTAATATCCATAATAGCTATCATCAGAGTGTGCGTAGCAGCCGTCGTACATTTCATCTCTGTCCTGCTAGATGACACTTGAGTGACATTCAAATGACTACTTGGAAACTCAAGACGGCTCAGGCTCGTCTCAGACTCTGTGTAGCTGAGCACAGCCCTGACCTCCGGATCCTCCTGTCTCCATCTTTCAAATTCTAGGTTGCAGGGAGACATCAACATACCTAGAATTTTTTCATCCTTTTCAGGAGCCTTCACGTTGATTTCTGCTTTGACTGGATTTATTTCCATTCCTACTAACAGTAAATAAGGGTTCTACTCTGTGTGTTCTCACCAGCATTGGTTGTGAGCATAGACTTGCTTTCATTTTTAGCGCAGAGGGCTTTACTGTCAGTGCCTTCTAGCTCTCTAGTCACTAGGTCGGCTTCACAGAACTCACTGCAGTTGTTCACTTACTCAGCACCACGGCCCTAAAGTACGCTGTCGTGCACTCACAGGTGAATCAGTTGGCTGTTTCACTGTGCTCAGTCCTTAACATGGGGGATGGGACACCTAAGCTGGCTGTTTTTCAGCTTTAAGATTAATGAAATGGGTTAATTGTACAACTGATTGTATAGTTGTCTAAGTATTCTTGGCACTGTTCTTTAGAAGGGTAAATACCTTTAGCCCTCTGCTGGATAACTAGGATCTGCAGTAAGACATCTCTTGGAGATTCTGCAGCCATGTCAGATCTTCTTGTCCATGTCCCTGCTTGATTGAGTCTTACTCTTAGAGCCTTCAGTAGAATAATGTGCGGGAAGAGAACTCTGGGAAGCTGGGATGGATCCCAAAGGCTATGTGTGGATAATCCATAGTCATGCATAATGTTTTTAACATGGGTGGAAGATGGGATCACCAGACATAGCCATTGCTGCCCATACGTGACCACCCTGCCTCTCGATCACCTCTGAGTGGGCCTTCCCCTTGTTTCTGAAGCACACACTTCGACTGGCTCAAATAAAGGACAGAACTCGATCTCAGAACTACACATGATCCCTCATTCCCAACTGTGGGTTAATTTGGAGGCATAGTATAGGACATGACAGAGAGGAGATGTGTATTGGGATGTTTAAAAAATGCCCAAATGACCTGGCGGTGGTAGTGTACACCTTTAATCCCAGCCCTTGGGAGGCAGAAGCAGATGGCTCGCTCTCTCTCATTCTCTCTCTCTCTCTCTCTCTCTCTCTCTCTCTCTCTCTCTCTCTCTTATACACACATGAAAGACAAGTGCATATTCTTATTTACTTAACCGTATATGTGTTTCTGTGTGTGTACAGTTGCTAATAATCATTGTGCTTTTTGAGTTTTAAGGACCAGACGTTCTCTTTCTCTTTTTAGATGTTTCATTGTCAAGGCTTGTTATATAAATTTAAGATAGGTTCTTACCTGTGTTTAGAGCATCAGAGGGATGCAAGACACTCAATTAAGATAGGTTCTTACCTGTGTTTAGAGCATCACAGGGATGCGGGACACTCAATTAAGATAGGTTCTTACCTGTGTTTAGAGCATCAGAGGGATGTGGGACACTCAATTAAGCATTTCTGTGTTTTTCTGCTTTGGAGGGAGCTCCTAAGTGACAGTAGGTTGGTGAGGACCGTTTGACTAATTCTGAAGTTTGTTCAGTTTGCACTGGATAGTCTGAAGTTTGATTAGAAGAGTCTTCCATCTCAGAAAAGAAGGAAACCATTTTCATTTTGAAAGGCTGCATGGTAGCACGACCAATAAAAACCCAGAAGCAGATGTTGGGGTTCATGCTGAAGATCAGAAAATCAAAGCAGCCAAGCCACTAACCTCTACCAAGGCTCAGACAAACAAATATCCTGTCCGCAACGTGACTGCAGACTGCAGTGCTCTCCACCAAACCTCAGACTGCACTGGGCTCATGTCTCCTCCTACCTTATATTCTTCTCTCCGCCCAGCCATAATCGCTACTGTCTCCACCTCCCTGGTGTTGGGATTAAAGGCCTGGGATCTTTATTTATTAAGACACAAATAAAATATCACTATACTAATTGTTTTTCACTTTTGCCTTTTGATGGTGTTTCCAGATATTCTTGGGTATTCCAGGTGGTCTTGATTCTTATACTTAAGGGAAAACTAATGATCAGTGAAGAATAATGGCCATTGGGAGTATCCAGTGCCTCATAAAGTGTGCTGGACATTTCCATTTTAGAAACGGTAGTTTTTATTACCCCAGTAAACCTGGCCAGACACCTTGGTAAGTCTTTTATGGTTGAAATGCATTGCAAAGAAAGGTAGGTTATGATTATCGGTTTTGCCTGCTGTTTCAACAGTCTAGTAAAAAGAAAATGAAACACGGAGTCACACTTAGCATTCTGTCAGTGTTTGATTTGCTTATGAGATATACTCAAGATAGAATCAAGACAAAAAATAAACTTACAGTTAAATATTTCGTTAATGTGTATCCTTAATCCTTAATTACTTGAGAACTCAGGCCAAAAATGGAAAAACATTGCTTTAGTTGAATGACAAACCGTAGTTCTCTGAGAATTTGCCACATAGTAAAAGTTCTAACAGTGTGCGTATCCCTAAAGGAAGAATAAATCTCATGTTTCTTAAACTAGTGTTCAGAATCAGGTGGATGAAGTCATCGATGTAATGCAAGAAAATATTACAAAGGTCATTGAGCGGGGAGAGCGGCTAGATGAGCTGCAGGACAAGTCAGGTACAGCTGCTGCCTTCTTTCCGTATCTCTTGATATTAGAATATGTGTGTAACTGATGCCTACCTTTCCTCTGTCTCACTGATGCTTAGGAAGTCAACATTCAATTCTTAAGACTCAAGTCCGTGCTTGGTTTCTGCTCACTAATGTGAATGGTCTTGCTATATTTCCTTCTTACTCAGTTAAGAATGAAGAATTTAAAACTACATTGCCAAAAAGTTAAATCCCCTCTTTTCTCTTGTCCTGTTAATGTTGATATGCTTTGTGTTTTTTATGTCAACATGGTAAAGTTAATCTGTGTTCAGTACTCTTTTCAAACTTGTCAAGTATCTTTATTTTATGTATTCTCTGGTAATTAGGGAGTTTTCTTTACTGATAGGTGTTAGTCTCTGTGTCTGTAATGATTCCCAGCACATATCTGGACCTCCAATATTGTTTGAATGCTGACTTAGGCTTTCCTGGATACTTAGCAGCTTTTGTTTAGAGGCAGCTGTTAGCCTTTGAGCCTGTAATGGTTTTGGCACATATTAGCCATTCCTGAAGTTTGAATGGTGAGTGGCTGCATGCCAGGTTCATTCTTGATAGCCTTGCCCGACCAGAAACTTGCTTGATTACTTTTCTTTTCGCTCTAAATCAGTTATCCTTGTTTCCTAAAAATTTAATTTTCTCTGTGTGCAAATTTTTTCTAGCGTTGTGCCAAAGTATTTGTTTTGTTTCCAGTGTTGGCATCTAATGTGTACTATCAGGCATTGGCCCAAGAGCAACAACCACAGCCCCTATTTAAAAAAAAAAAAAAACTGTTATTACATTAATTTGTGTGCATGTGCCTGAATTGGAGCACACAAACAGTGATGAACGTGTGGAGCCTAGGGCCTTGGCTCTCTCCTTCCATCATGTGGGACCCTGTGTTCAAACTCAGGTTATCAGGCTTAGTGTCCATCTGGCATCCCCCACTATGCTTATTTTTAACCTCTATTTTCTTAAAAATTTCTTTGAACCAATTGACCTTCCATTGTGTTTTGCTTTTGTTTTTTCCAATGTAGACTAATGAAATTTGTGTGTGTGGAGGGGGGAATTTAAAAAGTAGAAATTGATGGTTTTGTCTTCGTGTGACTAGATAAAATAATTGTGTCATTTAATCCGACTCTCCACCCTCTGTGTGATACAGAAAGCTTATCGGATAATGCAACTGCATTCAGCAACAGATCCAAACAGCTCCGAAGGCAAATGTGGTGGCGTGGATGCAAAGTAAGTAAAGGAGAAGGAGGGGTTGGGAGCAGAGAAAGATTTGAGGAGAAGGGGCCACTAGTCTCTGAGCTCAGTGAGAACCAGCGCTGTAACTGCTTTTCTTATTGGGAGATTTCCTCAGCTTTGGACACGAAAGAGTAACTAGAGGAACCAAGCACTGTCCGATCCCTCCCAGCTCTCTCTGTGATGCCCTCATTTCCCAGTGGTCCAGCGTTTGGACACCCAGTGATGCACATCTGCCCTCCTTAGCAGCACTTCTTCCTAGCAGTTTTGGGGATATACAGAGTGGTTTGTTTTTTATTTTATTTATTTATTTATTTATTTTAATAAAATGAAGCCTGGAGAGAAGTATGATTTTTTTTCTCCTAGAAGTAGTTTATATGCCAGAAATTGTCCTAACAAAAAGAAAAAGTCCCATTTTATTCCTTCATTCTTTTAACAAAATAAGAAATAAAAGAAAAATTTTAGTAAGGACAAATGGATTCTCTATGCACTAATATCCTTCAGAAATGAATTTGCCTCTTAAATCAAGTATGGCCAAGCATGAAACAAATATCCTTTAACATTTTATAGCAAATTTCATGTTATGAGAACAAATCTTTCCTTCTTCCTCTTGAGTCTAGGATGCGTTTTTATTTCGCCCAAATCCTTAAACATGGGCTCATTGGTTTTAAACCCTCATTTTAGGATTCAACAATAATTTTTTAAACCCAAATTTGCCATGTTAAGGATTTTTTCCAAAAGATATCTTGGATTTACCAAGTTTTATCTGTTTATCTGTTAAATGTCTTGTTTCCGAAGTAAGAAGAAGAAAGAAGAAGACAAGTTTCATTGCTCCCCTTGTATAGAACTTTTTTTCTGTTTATTTTTGTTTTCTTCAGAGAATAAATTTTGTATTTTCTTTAATTTCTTCTCTGCTTCCTGCTCTAATGTTTTTAAAGAGAGTTTAAAATATACAGGATTGTTGTTTTAAACAGACTCAGACTCAGTTAACTCTGTAGCCCACTCTAGCATCAAGCAGGCAGTGAACAGCATTGTCATGTAACTTAGCAGAGACCATCGGAAGCAGCCAGTGTTCTCTACCTCACCTTCTCAGGCTTCTGTTTCGCCTTCCTCCTAGCATCTGGGGCAGTTCCCACGCCCCCACTTTCTGGGTTGACTGACGGCAGTGACTTAGGAAGGCTGTTATGCAACAGGAGATAGACACACCAGAGGTGGCCAGTGGCTGAAAGGTTGTAGGCTGTGCAGTTGCTTATGAGGGAACTTTGGGGGCCAGTGATGGAAACGTATCTGGTTATGATGGTTTTAGATACTTCTTGCTCCAATTTGGAAACCTAGGAAGAAAATTCTATTCAGTAAAGTGTTTTTAAATTTTTGTTGGTTTTTCCATATACATTTTATAAAGTTAAGCCTAGTTAACTTTATATTAATAGACAAATTAATATGTGTTTTTGGGAAAGGTAAGAAAGCTACTATTAAATTCCATATGATTTAAAAAATATTTTCAGGTTAAATAAAGAATTTAAGTACCTTTTGGTAGAATATAAACCCTTTAGCATAATCTAAGCCCAGGTTCAAGACTATTTTTTCATTTTTAAGTTATCGTAATTAAAGACTTTTATATCAAAATTGCAAAGCTTTCTGTGTCTTTCTTGGGTCACTTTGTTGCCACAGTCGTGATGTCATGAAGGGTTAGCAGTCATTCTGTTTTTAAAATGTTTAACTAATTCTTGTTTTTATGTATAATTGTCATTTATGAAACATTTCTTTATTACATTGGAAATACTGTTTTTTTTTAATTTTTGAAATGAACCTTATTATAAAAATCTTGGAAATTAAAAAAAAGAAATCACACACTGAAATTAAGCAGTACATCTGGGACCTATTCAGTTAGAATAGCCACTCTGAAGCTTTGTCACCTCACTCTGGACTTTACACTCTCACTATCTAATGTATTTTATATACTTATGCACTTATTGATCTTTTGAGTCCCCCCAAAAGCCGGCTGGCCTAACTCACTCTGTAAACCTTGAACTCACAGAGATCCACCTGCCTCTGTCTCCCAAGTGTTGAGATTAAAGTCATGAGTTTTTAACTATATGAAAATGTTTGATGAAAGCAAGGCTTTGATACATCAAGGAAATGAAACTAGTTTAAATAATGTGTGCACTTAAGAAACAATAAAATTATGATTGTGATATTTTTATATAAAAAGATAACAAATATCAAGCCGCTGACTGGGAAATGATCTTCAGGCTTCTCTTCCTCAGTGGAATTGGACACCGCACTCTTGTGTTGTTATTTATAGAGAGTCTAAAGTATAGGCCTTAGTGTGGACATTCCATCGTGAAGGGAGCACAGCGAGGAAACACTGAAGGGTCCTCATGCGCCTGGAGAAACTGCAGTGATGGTCCCCGTGAAACCTGCTGTCACGTAGATGGCAGTCCCCGGTTCATGGTTTTGTTTTCCATAGCATTGGTTATGTACAGTGAGCTGAGGTTAGAGAAACCTAAATTTGTCTTGGCTCTTGGAAGAGAAACACCAAATTCATTTTACTTTATTATACATGTGTTCCATTTTATTGTTGGTTATTAGTTTATTCTTTTTAGTTTATCAAACTATCTTTGGTATGCCTCTACGGGGAAAACTACACATAGAGGATTTGGTATCATCCATGGTTTAAGGCATTCATGGGGTGAGGTCACATAGCTTCCCACAGAAGAGAGGAAGGACCATTGTACATAAAGTAATAATGGACTACTGGCTGCCAGAGTTTTTATCCAGTCCTGACCAGAATTGCTAAAACTACAGTTTTGGGTCTCACATTCGAAGTAGGTCACCCCGAGAGGGCTCCGACTGTGACTGCTTACTGTGCAGTACATCCTTAGGTGGTAACTTCCTCCAGAGCAAACCCTCACATTTGGGCGAACTTCAGTTATTGATGTAAAAATACAAGACATCCATCAAGTTCATGTGAGAAACAGCGAATTGGAAACCCTGCAAGGAGTGTGCCTGTTAACTGATGAGGTAGGGAAATAAGTAAGTAGCAGTCAGAGAGTCTTGTCTTGATTAACAAGTCAGGTTTCATTTGCCTTTTTGTGTGTTACAGATAAAAGCCGTCATGGCTTTGGCTGCAGCTATCCTTCTGCTAATGATTATCAGTAAGTATTTCTCGGATCATTGTTTCTTGGGGTATTATGTTTTGTAAGGCTTAGGATTTGATTTGGTGTTCATTTTTTTCAGAGACATAATCTCACTATGTAGCCCAGGCTGTCCGAAATGCTACTGTGTAGCCCAGGCTAGCCTCTGGCTAGAGTTTTATTTTAAGTCATTTTTATCCTTTTCGTTTCAGTTGACCTAATGTATGTAATGCAAGCATTGAGTAATGGCACGTGCCTTGAATAAGAAGGGGGCCTTTACCTAGACTCCTGAGTCTCTGAAGACTGCTTTGACAGTGTCTGAAATCTGTGTGACTATGAATGTGTGCATTTCTGTGGGGGTCTGTATCCTTTGCTAGATTCTCAAAAGGGCACTCCTCCTCCTGCTCCTCAGCCACACCCCAGTCACAGCTCGGGGCTCAGCCATTTGTTTAAGGCAAAATCTGGTATCTGTTAGACTTAGGACAAAATAGTTTTTTGTTTACTGTTGTGATCAGGAGACAAACTCAGTTAGCTTCTCTAGATGATTTTGTATATGTGTTTGTAGATTTGAGCTTAGTTTTAGTTCTGAAAGCATAATTCATTCTGTGTTTTTTCTTAGTATTTTTTTCGAAGTTAGACTATTTTTTATAAGTATCTTTCTTCAAGATCTCTAATATTTACAGAGATTTTGTGAAGAATTAAAATCTCAAAAAATTGAAATTTTTATAAGGATATTTTTTAAACTTAAAAAGTGTTATAAAGAACTAACAAAGAACTGTAATCCAGTCTCACTACCTGGGTAATAAAGAACTAACAAAGAAAGAACTGTAATCCAGTCTCATTACCTGGGTAATAAAGAACTAACAAAGAACTATCATTCAGTCTCATTACCTGGGTGCTGCTGCGTGGGTTTGTTTAATAGTTGAAGTGTATTTGTAACCATTTAATTATCCATGTTAATGCTCATGCTACTTCCATGGTCATTCAGAGCAAGGAGAATTTTGACCCCCTTGACCCATAGGTCTCCAGCTGGGGTTAAATGGAAGTCTGCCTTCTTATTTCAGCTTTCATTGCATAACCAAGTGTCCTTTCATAGACTTGTTGGCCCACAGTTCTGCTGACTTCGTGGTTTGAAATGGACCTCACGATGGTCTAGAAATGCTACCGTCTTACTAAATGCTATGCTACACCTTCATAGACAATACTCGAGCATATTCAGGGATGAGCTACAGTGCTGCTGGCCTTGACTTCATTGTAATGTTTTAATTAGTGATATCTGTTCAACAAGGTGTCTTTCAATAGAAGCACACATAAAGCAAGATTATGTGTTAATTTATTGACTAAAGTGAAGTAGCCAGAGACTCATGGGAACTTAACCCTGTATTTTCCCTAGGTGTAGTGGTCCAGGAGTCACCAGTTCAATGTTATGATAACTTTGTAGAATATAATTATCACAGACAACAAGAACCTACCATGAATGGTGGACACCATGCAAATATATATATATATAGAGAGAGAGAGACTAACATAAAAAGGACTATACAATTTAACTATACTCTGCCTATACTACTGTAGCTGCTATTAGTATGGCGATTTTATATGCTTTTAGTCTTTTCCTCTTGGTATGTAAGCATGATTTTCAAAAGCTGAGATTGTATCAGACATTTTCCAATAAATACTTTATTAATTATTTTCCCACATTGTTAAATATTGTAATAGGATTTAGAAGCTATGAGCTACTGTTTTGCCGCAGTTCATTTGCTCAAGAGGCCAGCGTTAGAGACTTGTGTTGTTTCTGATGGTTCTGAATTTGTTCGTATTTCATAGCTGTTGTCTCAGATCAAGGTTTGGCCCAGGTTTCTCCTCTCTAGCAGTGGCCGATACCCACACTTAAGATTGTGCTTCTGACCTAGCTGTTGTTGGTTCTGATTTTGATGCATTCTTTTTCTTTTTTTGTTTTACTTTTTTCTCTTACAGTTCTTATAGTTGTGAAAAACCGTACTTGATTTGATGACAGAGATCCTCATTAAACAAGATCTGGGACAATAATAATTAAAGATTGCTGCATAATTTAAATGAAACCTATGTATATAAAACTTTCAATTTTTCTTTTCCAAGAAACTAAAAGGCAAGTACCACTTCAAATTGGAGCATTGAGAATATCCAATTATGTTCTTCCTAACTAGCAAAATGTGTTTTGAATAATTATATTTAAGACAAAGATAACTCTATTTTGCTTTATTCCAAGGATCTAATTTGAAACTAGATACTTGCCAGTTTGTTATATGTATATATAGTTAAACACTGATGACAATATCCCATACTTGTGTTTTAGTGGCATTAAAAATGTTTATTAATACCTTAAAGTGAGGGTCATTCTGGTGGTCAGGAAGCCTGTGTAGAGTCCTGACTCTCATGCTGAAGGAGATTCATAACCATCCTATCAGTATTTGCAAGAATGTCATTCTTTTCATATTGTAGTTGCTTTGCAGGCCATTTCCACAGTTACAGATTAACAAAAGCTATGTGTTGTAATGTTCTGCCTTCAGCTCTACCTGAAACATTCCAGTAAACCTATTCTGACTGTATAAGGGAATACGTGGTAATTTTTTGGTATTTGCATTTTGAAAATGGGAAATTTAAACAGTGTGAAAAGCATAATATGGTACCATAAAACTGGAGATAATAAAAGTATTGGAGAATGTCATTGGAGTGTCTGAAAATGAGCAGTATGTAGCGTCCAGTCTTGGTCCAGTCGATTGTCAGTTAAACTACAATAAAAAGGGACTAATTCTCATGTGAGTAAGTGCAATCTGCAGGTAATGTTTCCTTGATTTCATTTGTTAATAGTTTTCCCTCTTTACGTTTAACTAGCCCTGTGCCAGAAGAGCGTAGTCTTCTGCTTTGACTGTCATGTTTCTCCTGCACTCCACTCTTGGTGTGTTCTCTGACATTTTTGGGGACATAGATGGTGCACAGTCAAGTGTCCAGACTGCCAGTGGCAGCGAATAGCAAACTGTCAGGAGCATGGGCCATCTGTACAGAATTAGTCACAGTGTTCAGGGGCATACCAAGATGTGTTCATTGTAAAGAGTGCCAACCCCTTAATACTGTTTTAAAAAGTCCACGTGCAAATCCGTCCTGAGTGCAAGGGGAGAAAGGCATGACAGTCAAACCAGAGACCGTGGGAACTTCTTCTTAGGCTAGAAATAGAGTTCACAGGACTTGCCAGTATTTGGGGTGATCATTTTAATTCAAAATGTATAAAACAATTTGGATTTTCTTTGTTTAATTCTACAGTGGATAGTACTAACAGATAAGAATGTTTTTAATGGAAAGAAACTTCAAAGGCAAAAGCCAGATTAAGTGATATCCTAGACACTTGCAGGATCTAGCTATAACTTCTGACTGTGCAATGTCTTGCATATTATGGAAAGTTGACTGTTCGTTAGTTCATGTGCACAGCATCTGAACTGATGATAAACCCTTTTGGAAACGATGGGCCAAGGAGTGTTCTCAGTCTCAGCAGCTGGTAGTTCAGGGATGGAGATGTTTTATTTGAATCAGCAGAGTTGGTCCTAGTGTATTTGCCTTTTGTTTGGATTGTAACAAGACTCATAAGTCATTAGCTTTCCACTGATTAGTGTAGAAGTCTTGTTTCATTCAGTGTCTGTTAGTGAAGATGAAGTGTTTTTTTTAAAAAAAAAAAAAGATTTCATATTTCCAGTGCTTCTCTTAATAAAGTGTACCACTTTTAAGGAAATAATTATTTTTAGAAAATAGAATTATAAAATTATTTTAAACATCAAATATAAAAAAGTTTAAATTACATAACTTTATGTGTATAGTTGTTTTGTTTAAATTTGTTACTGCTGAGGAAACCCTGTTGGCATGTGATGCCCTCACTCAGTTTATTTATTGTTTTATCTTTTTTGATTTTACATAATCCTGAGACCCTAAAATGACTGGCATGTTTATGACATTATATGAAATACTGGAAATACGGGTGTTCCTCCAATAAGAAGCTACGGAGAGCCAGGTGTGACGGCTTACACCCTAGTCCTTGCTCTGTGAACACTGAAGCAAGGGGGTTGCCATGATTGTGAAGCCATCCTGGACTTCATAGTGTGTTCTGGACTAGCCTGGGCTACAGAGTAAGAACCTGTCTCCAAAAAACCAAACAAGAAAAAAATAGAAGAGAAATGGTTGTTGAAATTGATGCCAGGCCTGCATCCATTCCCTCCTTAATCATTCTTTTTCTCATCCAGCTCAGATCATCCTGCACTTGAAAAAATGAAGTTTTACCACCATCAAAACTATCATTACTTAACACCTGTGAAGATCAACAGAAAAATTCAAGTAGCTTTGCTAATGTTAGTTGATGCCCAGTGAAATCAGGTCACGACTTCCATGCCTGAAGCGTGCCCTTGTGGTTTGTCTGTAACAGAAGCCTCTTCCTTGCAGCAGTTTGTGATGAATGGGCTCTTCCTCCTGATCAGAACTCACTGGTGCCTGTGGTCTTTGATTCCATTGTCCTAAAAAAAAAAAACCATTGGAAATTGTCCCAAAATTGTATGAACTGGGACATCTATTGGTTAAGAGAAGGTCCAGAATTGATGATGGAACACTGTTTAAGGTGGAGAAAAAGTAGTACACATGAGGTGTCCTTACGGTTCATCCCTGGGCTCTGGTTAGAAAGTACTGTTGGTGCTTTAATGGCAGAGTTGACACCTTGCTGTTCTGTGTAGCATGTGGGTACCCTGTAAATACACACATATAGGCTGAGGCCCAGACATGGAAGTTGCTTAAAGTCTCTCCTTGCCACTTCCACGTGGTCTCTGTCCTGTCAGCACTGTAATACAACAGACTTGTATTCACATCTTGTAAATACTTTATGGTTAGAAAATACACAAGAGTCTTTTCCACATTGAACACAAATGTTACTAGTTGTATTGAGTCAGAGTGTTACTAAGCTAGGGACTGTACTATCAGTCAGATTTTGTGTTTTCACATAGAAATGTTACTGGAAATCATTTTTACTTTTCCATGCATGGTAGTAAGAACACGAGCCCATCTGAACACATTTTGGGAAGGCAGTTGCCATAAAACAATGTAAAGACAATGAGTCAGAAGGAGCAGAAAGGGACCATCTTAGTCCATACAAATGCCGCCCTCCCTTAGACTGACAAGAGTTTAAGCCTATTTTTGTGTGTCTTGTTTTTGAGGCTGTGTGACCCACGTTGGCCTCAAGTCATAGAGAGCCACCAGCCTCTGCCTCCTAGGTGCTGGGATTAAAGGTTTGCCACCATGCCCTGCAGCCTTTTTTTTTTTTTTTTTTTTTTTTTTTTTTTTTTTTTGATCAAAGAAAGAATTCCTGGGCTCAAGTGATCTTTGTAACTTAGCCTCATAAGTAGCTGAGGCTACACGTAGGCACCACCATGTGCAGATGGGTCTTCTCTTTCAGCCTGATGTTAGTCTTACTTGGATATTTATTATCCTATTTCAAGTAGAATAAGGGGTGGGAACACACTTTTATTCTGGCTCTTGTTTTATTTTGCAAAGCTTCTTAGAACAAGTGAGTAGGGCTGAAAATAAAAACATTGCTAATCCAGTCGGGATAATTGTAAGCTTGTAGAGCAAGGACCATGCTGCCCTGCTGTCTCTCAGCACTGCGGTTCCCTGGCAGATGCTAGACAAAGGTGAGGAGAGAGAGGACTGTGCTTCTGAAGTCACACTGTGTTGGTGTGAGAGCTGATTCCCAGTGTGCTTGAGAGGTGTCATGAGTGATCTAGGTGATTACCTAGAGGTAAATATGTTCCTGTTACAATTGAGTGTAGAAAAATTCTGGTTTTACAGTGTTGCATTAGCTTCTTTTCACTTGAAAAGTTTATAAAGTAAAATCACATTATTTTAAAGCTGTAAATTGCATATGTCCAAATATTTAGTAAAATGTTAGCGATAAGAAAATTCAGCATTGTTTTTTGTCTTAGTTGTATGTCATTATTTTACTTCCCATGATCCCTAATTTAACCATTTCGGCAAGTGCCTTTGACATTTAAGGGGTATGATGGGAGATGAGCAAATGTAGGTGCCACACCCCTTCCCCTGACTTCTCAATTCCCCATGGCCATTTCTGTTCTACAGTGCTACAAAGTTCAGTCCTTTGTGTTCATGTGGAATGTGTTTGTAGCCTCTCCAAAGTAAACAGCAAAATAAACCATTTTGTAGAAAATGAAAAGTAAGCACTTTGGGTTGTTCAGTATGTATATCCTGTTGACTTAACTTCAAAGCAAAACACGTGTACAATCACCCTAATTTCATTGGAACCCGATTTTCCACTAAAATACATGGAGTAAAAGTAAAACCTATCTAGAAAGAATTTCTCAATGTACAGCACCAAGTGTCAAGAGCAGGGAAATGATTGGTTGGGTACTCATTCTTAACCTCTCTGGTGTCCATTTCAAAGAGGGGAAGAGGACAAGGGCCGCTTAATTTTAATAACTCAGTGCCAGTCAGAGCTGGGCATGGTGTTATATGCCCATAATTCCAGCACTCAGGTCGTGGAGACAGGTGATCCGGGAGTAGTTCAAGGCAGAGACAACTACATAGTTTGACGTCAGCTTGGGCTGCAAGAGCATGTCTTTATTTAAAAAAACAAGTAGTCCCAGTCAACACCTGGCACCTGTCCCTCAGCAGTGTGGCATGATCTGAGTAGTGAGCTCTGTCACTAGCTTCCCCCCAGACCCTAAACGTCATCTCTGTAGTATTCCAAAGCTGTGGTTAGGAATGGAGAGAGGGAAACACCTTAGGTACACCCTAAGAATGACAAATCTAGAGAACCCTATTTGGCCTTTGTGTTTGTGTATCAGCACATAATACAGTTGGTGGCTCCACTTCTGAATGTCCCCAACTCCTGATATAGTCCTCCCGGTACAACTCGGTCCTCTCTGAACACATTCCCTTATAATCTTAACTAATATTATGATAAAACACCCTTGTTCTGACATATCCCAAGTTCGTGTCTCCTTCTTTTGAGACTGGACTCATGAATGAATATTCCATTTGTCATGTTTCATTATTACTCATTACTGCTTGCACAAGCCCCAAATAAAATTCTAATGCCAGGTGGTGGCACATACCTGTAATCTCCATATAGTCTGCTTCGCGTACCCATCAATTCTCTGCTCGTCTCTATTCTTCCAACTCTCCTAACATTTTATAGAAACTAATTATGCTCGTTACCTCTCTCCCCTCATTCCAAACGCAACCGTCATAGAGAAGGATTTTTGCCTCTTATTCACTGTCTCCCAAACCACTTGCTGTAACAGCAGTAATCGCTGATTGAATGGGTCCATTATCCTGAAGATACAAAGAAAGGCCTGAATTTTGAAAATTATATACTTAACTGCTGGAGCTAAATTGATTTTTATAGTATATCAGCAATAGGATGAAAGACGTGGCCTCCATAATTCAGAAAGTCATAGAGGAAAGAGGTAAAAATAGAATTAAACACATGCTAAAGGCACCTTAGGTCAGCTACCAGGGAAACAAGTTAAAATAACTCGTTAGCAGTGGTCCTCAACCTGTGGGTCACAACCCCTTTGGGGGCACTGAATGACCCTTTCACAGGGGTCACCTAAGACCATCAGAAAACAGATGTTTACATCACAATGCATAACAGCAAAATTACAGCTACGAAGTAGCAACAATAATTTTACATTTGTGGGTCACCACATGAGGGGTCTGTATTTAAGGGTTCGCACTACAAAGGGTGCCGGTGAGTCTGCAAGCATAAGGATTTGAGTTCAGATCCCCAGAATTCATGTAAAGAGCCAGAAAAGGTAAGTAGTTATGACCCACCCAGCACTGTGGTGAGCAGTCGGGAGGATTCACACAGTCACCAGTCAGCCTAGCCTAAATAAACCCTATCTGAAGGTGATGAAGTGGAGAGCTATAAAGGAAAACGCCCAGTGTGCGCATGCACCACACATACCAAGAAAATGCATACCACACAACATATGCACTCACGGTCATTTTCTAGAAAGCAATTGCAATGTGCCTGTTAATTCCTACACAGAAGCAGTTCAGGGATAGAATTGCCTAAGAAGATCAGTGGTGTAAGAGAGGTTCTAGTCGGGTGGTGATGGTGCACACTTTTAATCCCAGCACTTGGGAGGCAGAGGCAAGCAGATCCCTGAGTTCAAGGCCAGTCTGGTCTACAGAGTGAGTCCCCAGAACAGAAGAAGAAAAAAGCAGAGGAGGAAAAAGAAGAGAGTAAAGGAGATAAACAGTAGGTGTGTCCTCCCTCTCGCAGGAGCCCTGCTGGTGGTGGTGGTCAGTTTTAAGCACACAGCTCCTGACGGGTGTCTACTCTGGCAGAAAGATCTATGGGAAGAATAAAACTAATGTCAAATAAGTTTATTTACCTTGGTGTTGTGTGAAAAACTTTTCCTGAGGATATTCAACACACACACACACACACACACACACACACACACAGGCACTCTATTCACCCCAGATAAGGAACACAAAACTGGCAAAAGCAATGGTTATTCCATCGCTCAACTTGGTGAACCAATGAGTTTTTATGTGATTGTGAACAGCAGTTATGTGTGAGGAGTGGCTTACCAGAACACAAGAGGACTCAAAAGCATCACCAAAAAGCCCACCCCAACACAGGTGCTGACTAGGAGCT